CTGACAGTGGACTTGATACATTTTGTTAATCATGACAACTACTATGGCAGACGACTTCAGACTAGGTGCGTTCTACATAGTCGCCCTGACAACAAGACCAAGTTGCGACAACGAGGTCAACCCACTTCTATAAATCGGAAGGAGACTGCGACCATACCAGAGACCACAACATCTTGGTCTTCATATCTACAATTAATTTTGCATATTTTCGTATTAGAGTAGAGTTTCGAGGCTACCAGTAAATCAGTAATATGAGATATATTCACCGTATTTCGTCTAAGGAGATAAAGGACTGGTAGTAGGATTTTCCCACAATGATATGAGTTGAGCTGACGTTGAATTGAAAAATCAACTCTACTCATATCATTGTGGGTAAATTTTACTACCAGTCATTCATATCCTTAGACGAAATAGGGTGAATACATCTCATATTACTAATTTTGCATAGCCTTGCTTCCCAACAAGGTATTCCCATCCGGCGGAAGTGGACGTAAGTTTCGCCCTCGCCTAAACCGCTTTCATCAGCGCTCTTAGTCCTTCATCACTCTAGACGAAATACACGCCTACTTCATCTATATTTGTACCATTAAAGTATGACTTGGGAGAGGCTGATTTGCCCTCTGACCCACTGGCACCCATGGCTGTGTGGTGAAGACGAAATGTGGCCATGATGCTCACCTTTCGATACCAAATCACGTCGGAGTGCCGATAAGACCTAGATGAGGTCGAAACTGCAGTCTCTCCAAGCAGGATCAGTAAACCTTTTTGGAAGACCAGTCCAAGTGAACTTCACTTGCAGCTTGATGCCTATTCACGTCATTTTGAGCATCTCGAATGTCAGTCTTTGAGTCGTCTTAATCGGTCTAGGGTGACAGAGATTCCTAAAACCGAATTACTGCCCCTTTCAAAAGACATTAGCGCCAAATAATCCTCCAATGGATTACCTGAACTACTTTTATCCATTTTGAATAAGGGCTTTAGTCACCCTAGGTTGCTTAAGTTGGGCCAGGATTGATAGACAATTTTCTCATAATGCCTTACGATGCAAATGAATTTCGCTTCCGGAAGGTATTATTGTCTGAGCTGAACTGCTGTTTCGAACTCTTCTAGGTCTCGTCAGCTTCCGCGGAGGGAATCGAACCCAGAAAGTGCAGTCTGCAATCTTGACATGTGGAAACCGCAATCTAGCCTCGATGAGAAGAGACTAAGGGGAACTCAGTTGCGTTGTAAGAGCTAATCATCGGACAATCAGTCCTTCACCACCACCTCAAGCAACTTTCGCTGACTAAAGCTCTTATTCTAGATCTACTGAGAGTCTTGAAATCCTACTCATTCGAATGTTTATTTATCTCGTTTTTTTCCATTTCAGAGCGAAGAGCAGCAGTCTATCGAGGTAAAGTTCTAGATTCCCATCATCTTACCTTGTATTCTGTCTTAGAACATCTACTTATGCGTATGTACATTTTAGATTCGCAAGCTCCGCTACGAACTGGAGGAGGCCCAACAGAAGGTGTCGACACTGACTTCACAATTGGCCACAAATGTGAGTCAAAATTGGAGGACACGGTTTTTTCTCTTTTCATGCCGCCCACTGAGCCTGCGGCCAGTATGCAGCTTCCGCCTTTTCGACATTTTACTTGGTTCAGGTAGTTTTGAAAGGCATCTCACGGAGAAGGACATTTGCTTCGTAAACAAACCGTACTTTCGTTCTCATGCTCGACTGAACCCATCTGAATGATGGCGGATTCTCATCGGTAAACCGCTATGTTGGCTCTTTAAAGGTCTACGATTGCTTCCAGTTGGTCTGTCAAGCGCTCTCGAAGGTAGCTTAATGATGAAATTTCGACATCTCTTTATCCTTCTTGACTTGATTGATAAAAGCTATAACTGTTCCAAACCTCCTTCGCCTTCCCCTCCTCCTCCTCCTTCTCCTCCTCCTCCTCCTTC